CCCTTTTCTGTCTGTCTGCCTTTCCGGTTCTTTGTCGTGTCCTGTCTTTCGTTTCGTCCTTGTTCTTGTTCTGTGTCTCGGTCTTGTCCCCTGTTCTTCGTTGATGGTTTTTGGTTTTGTCTTCCAGGTCCTGTTCCCCGGTCTCGTCTCGTCCGTCGCCTCCTCTCGGGCGCGCCCGGTGTGCGCGCCTTTGGGGGGGGGTTCTGTCACACTCCGCTCCGTCCGCTCCCGATGTGTGCCACGCCCCCCTCATTACCTCGTGTGAATACCCGATTGTGATCACCTGTGTCCTGTTATGTCTGGCTAGTCTTTTATATTTAGTTCGTGTCTCAGTTAGTTTCCCCAGATCCGTCATTGTATTGTCAAGTGCTGTTCCTTGTCTGCTAGTCCTGTCACCTAAATAAACCCCGTCTGTCTGTCGTTACGGCTCCGCTTGCCTGCTTGCCTGTTCGCCCACCGACGAATGTGACAATTAGTTGTAAATATCTTCTCTTTCACAGGACAAATTACTTACTGTATATCTGTAGAAGATATGTCAATTTAGATAAAATTTAAGAAAATATACTTAATAAATGCACACCTTGAAGATGGATGATAAGTCTCCTTTATGTGGATGTAAATTACATCTATTCACTCGGTCCCTGTGAATAAAACACAAATATCCAACCATTATATTTTTATTTAAATAGATGTAACTGCCATCCACATTCTGAGCTTATTTCATTAGGGCAGCTTCCTGACATCAGCTTGCTTATGACAGTATAAGAGAAGCAGTGACATGCGACAGCTTGAAAGAAGTCAGTCTTTACAGTAATCCTCATCCTTTTACCTCAGACGTGATTTATACAGAAGACAGACAAAACTTGTTTAAATTTTCAAAGACAATAGGATTTGCAAAAGTTTAAAAAAAAATTTAGTTTTTTTTCTTGTAGCTTGTGTTTGCCTGTATGTCTTTTGACTGAGAGTCCATTTTAAACAATGGTTAAATGTATATTCACCTTTGATCTGTAGGAAAACGTCCCTCTCTGAATAAGATTGGTGGGTCCATTGACATGTCACTCTTCATGGAAACACAGCTGGGTACAGGTGAGCCTGCTCTCTCCATCAGGACACTGTGGACAGTGAGAGGAAAGATCCTCATTATATAAATATAATCCATATAATATGGACAGGGTCACATTAAATCATCAGCTGTTTAACCTTCTGCTCTGTCATCATGTACTTTGATACGCTGTGAAGCTCTTGATGCAAACATGCTTGTTTACATTTAGCTTTAATGTGAAATAAAGTATCTCATAAAATGGAGATCCCAATATGAAAGGTATAGTATCATTGTTACAGCCTTCGTTGCTAGACTTGTCTGTTGTTGCTTGATATTATATAAATGACCGAAACTATGAACTTCATTTTATCATATTCAGAAAATCACCTCGCGCCCCGAAGATGTGAAAAATTGAAGAATCAGCGCTAGGTGGCAGCAGAGGACGGCGTCCAGGGAGTACAATTAAATGTAAATTCTTGAAGGAAATTAAATTTCATAAATGTAATAACTGGTAAACATAAATCATCTACCCCACGGACCTGAATCAGTTAAGTCTCGAGGAAGTGAATTACGTTAAGACTGATTTCTCGGTCTTTCGAGACTGCTGGAACGTTTATTTTTTTATTACCGTGTGTAAAGCAGTACAAACACACAGGTTCTGTCTTACCTCTCAGTTCTCTTTGTTTTACACTCCACAGGGGGGGCCTTTCAGAAGCAGCTCCCTCCATTTTTGTGCCGATCTAGACCAGATGACTGAGGCTGGGGCCTCTATGAACACGAAAGGTAAATAGTGACATACATGCATAATATCTAGTAGCTACTTCATGCATCGGGTGCGGTCGCTATATATAGGAATTTGATTAAATTCTGGTTTGAGAAACAGCATATAGCATCCGCTCTAATATATATAGTATACTCCCAAATATAGCTTATTTCGTTATAAGTTTTATCTGTTGACTAAAATCTTACCTTGCAATACAGAATCTTATCCGCGTTTCTTAACAAACTGGAGAGTCCAGCATTAAAATACTTTTACTTTCATTTACAAACTGGAAATGCTGCGTATCAAACGCGGGAGCGGTCTACGCAGAAATGGACACGGACTCAGTGGCCCGGCGTAGGATTGTTGGGGATATTATCCATGCGACTTAATAACAAGTAACAATAAGAGAAAGGGGACAAGCTCCCGCCGCCACCTAATTCTGTCATGACGCACATTTTGCGTTATACTTGTACATATAAAACGCGGTTCTGCAGTGACACTTAAATCAATAATTGTTACACACATAAATCATTATCACACAGTCTTACTCATGGTTAACTATTCACATTTGTTGCCGCCCTACGGCTGCTTCAGGGACATTATATAACGCTTAACGTGAAAAGCTTATTGTGCTTTAATGTACCAAAACAGTGACAAATAATGACCAAATTTCTCACCAATATATCTGGTCATAATGATTTTCACCTTTTCTTTGCAGCCACTTCAGATTAATATTTTGTTAGTGCCACTAAAAGTCTTTGTTCGGAAAACACCCCAGTACTCAGATGATCCTAGGAAATGAAAGACATACCACTGTTATCTTTTTTGGTGGAAGTAGAGTAAATTATTATGCAGGCTGAGAGCAATTCCCAAACTTTTTCATATGACTGTATATATACACACAGTATTAATTATATATACATTATACATATATGCAAGAATATTACAACAATTGTAATAGTTATGTTATAAACATTCATCCAACAGCCACTTTCAAGGTTCACCTCTCGACAGTCAACTTAAAGACTATATATTACATATCTATTTTATTACCAGACCACCATCACAGCCTATGTAACATATATAGTGCAAATAAATACTTTTATAAGTACACAAAATCATCTGATCATTTAATCGTTGATTGTACTGACTACCACAAATGTCTAATGTGTTCAAGCTAAATCAGTAAATGTGCCATTTTGGCTGGGAATAAAAACTTTGCAACACAATATGAGTTGAGAAATCTTCAGGTCATTCACAGTCCTTATTCAATATTCAATTCAATTTATTTGTATAGAATGTTCCCACAATGTTACATTGTCTCAAAGCGCTTTACAGCATCACCACCCAAAGCCCCCAGTGAGCAGCCAGAGGTGACAGTGGCAAAGGAAAAACTCCTTAGAAGGAAGAAACCTTAGGAGGAACTGGACTCAGAGGGGGAGCCCATCAGGGAGGTGATGTGAGGCAAGTGGTGAAGCTGCTTCAGGTGGCAGGATGAACAGTGGTACAGCTGCATGGCATACAGGGAAGGCATCACAGACAGAAGGGCATACAGGGAAGGCATCACAGGCCGGAAGGGCGTACAGGGAAGGCATCACAGGCAGAAGGGCGTACAGGGAAGGCATCACAGGCAGAAGGGCGTACAGGGAAGGCATCACAGGCAGAAGGGCGTACAGGGAAGGCATCACAGGCAGAAGGACGTACAGGGAAGGCATCACAGGCAGGAGGGCGTACAGGGAAGGCATCACAGGCAGAAGGGCGTCGCAGGTAATGGAGATGTCGCAGGCAATGGGGTTGGCAAGATATCTTGAAAATTTGATTGACGCAGTGACTGACTACTCGGGAAACAGTATGCTACATAAAGTGCAATTAAAAAAACAAATCACAAACGGTCTATTCCAAATAATTTCCAAGTAACATAAATATAGAACCATACCTACCAAAGAACCCACAAACTTACCAACACAGTGGCCAATAATCACCAAATTTCCCACAGACATATCTGGTCATAAAGACTTTAAATTAAGCTTTTTCACATTAAGCGTTTTAGAAGAGTATAACTTAGAGACAAGGTTTTGACAGTGGAAGATAAAGTTCAGGGTTAAGTTACTGTCAATGATACATTAACTGTATGTGTCTGTGTGTCTTAAGGACTTTTCATACCAATAGCAACATGAAAAACACTACAGGAATTTATGATATATATTCAAATATGACGGATCAAAACCATTCATCCAACCATTTATCCTATCGGGTCATGAGGAGTCCAGAGCCAATTCAACAGCCAGGATGGGGGGCCAGCCCATCACAGGGCACACTCACACACCATTCACACCTACAGGCAATTTAGTAACCCCAATTAGCCTCTTTGGACTGTGGGGGGAAACCAGAGTACCCATGATGACATGGGGAGAACATGCAAACTCCACACACATGGANGTGATTGGATGGAGGTCCATTGGAAGTCCAGGGGGTGTCTGCTGCATTAGGCCCCTCCTATGCAGGCGAACAATAACTAAAGGAGGACGGCGATTGGATGGAGGTCCATTGGAAGTCCAGGGGGTGTCGGCTACATTAGGCCCCTCCTATGCAGGCGAACAATAACTAAAGGAGGATGCTGATTGGATGGAGGTCCATTGGAAGTCCAGGGGGTTTTCTACATAGAGGTTCCTGTAGTCAGAAGAGAGCGTCTGCTAATAATAATTAAAAAAACTAAATATGTGAACTTACAGTCCATTACATTTATTTATTATTGTCTTTTTTTAATGCTTTCTTTTGTCTTACAGCGGGCGTCAGTGGAAAAGGCTTAATGTGAGATGAAGTGCATATTGCTAATATTTTGGATTTGAAAGAAAAGTCTTTATGACCAGATATGTCTGTGGGAAATTTGGTGATTATTGGTCGCTGTGTTGATACATTAAACCACATTAAGCTTTTTCACATTAAGAGTTTTAGAATGTTAGAAGAGGATAACTTAGAGACAAGGTTTTGACAGTGGAAGATAAAGTTCTGGGTTAAGTTACTGTCAATGATACATTAACTGTAGGTGTCTGTGTGTCTTAAGGACTTTTCATACCGATAGCAACATGAAAAACACTACAGGAATTTATGATATATATGCAAATATGACGGATCAAAGCCATTCAACCAACCATTTATCCTATTGGGTCATGGGGAGTCCAGAGCCAATTCAACAGCCAGGATGGGGGGACCAGCCCATCATAGGGCACAATCACACACCATTCACACCTACAGGCAATTTAGTAACCCCAATAAGCCTCTTTGGACTGTGGGGGAAAACCAGAGTACCCATGATGACATGGGGAGAACATGCAAACTCCACACACATGGAACCCAGACAGAGACTCAAACCCAGATCCCAGAGGTGTGAGACAACACTGCTAACCACTGCACCACCATGCTACCCAGCATTTTGTTTTACCTAAAATGAAGGAGGGGTCTTTGTTGGGGAGCTTTAATTGTCATAAACAGCAATACAGATATAAATAATAAAACTAAAACCATTTTTTAAAGAAAATATTTAAAGAATATTGTTTGTATACTTCAACTTTTGGTTCTTTGTGCGTTTTTTGTTTTGTTTTTATATCGTTAACATGTAATGGTATTTCATCATAAATTATGGGTTAGGGTCCCAGGCAAACGACAAATCTTCCTTTTGGGTCCCCAGGTGAAAAGGTTTGCGAAACCCTGGTTTAGAGTTCAATCTATTGGTTTGAGTGTGGATTAAGAACCAAGTGTTATTTTTTTATTATTATTATTTTCTTTTCGATTATGTTTTTGGTTATAAATGTTCATTAAAATAATTACAAATACTTAAATGTAATATTGGTTTATGAATAACACATTATTGAATAACAAATATTAACAGTTTAATATTTAAAAATTAGAAGTGAAGTAAAAACAAAAACTGGATTGTACACCTATTTCCACTTTTATTCAAATAAAAATACAAATAATTTTGCTGCCTTAGCAAATAGAGATGCAAATACAATTATTGGGCTCTGTGCACGTCCTTATTTGGTAGCGCAGACTATATGCATATAGGCTTACATAGAAAGGACAAGTTGTATGTAAAATACCACGACACGATGCGATCAAATCCCGGCCCAAATAAGTGAAATATGTACAGGTACAGAAACACAGTGAAATAGCAGCATTCACTGGAATACCTACAGTGCAGTGAAGTCCAGCACTCATATGGAGGGCAGCAGCACACAGTACAGCTCCTCCAGGACATGCTGTGTTATTTCTTTGCATGTTACTGAAGATTTAATGTCCAGATGATTTATTGTCCAAATGCGCGCCGTGACCCGAAAGCTTCAACGCTGTAGGACAAATTCCATACAAACTACACCTCCTGTCTCGACTTATTATTATTGGTGGCAACAAGTAAATGAGAAACAGCGCCTCCAGGTGACGGGAGAGTGTACTGCTTGCAGGTGCACACAGGTGGTGCCTTCCTGAAACCATGTGCACTGTCAGACANAAAAATTAGAAGTGAAGTAAAAACAAAAACTGGATTGTACACCTATTTCCACTTTTATTCAAATAAAAATACAAATAATTTTGCTGCCTTAGCAAATAGAGATGCAAATACAATTATTGGGCTCTGTGCACGTCCTTATTTGGTAGCGCAGGCTAAATGCATATAGGCTTACATGAAAAGGACAATTTATATGTAAAATACCACGACACAATGCGATCAAATCCCGGCCCAAATAAGTGAAATATGTACAGGTACAGAAACACAGTGAAATACGCAGCATTCACTGGAATACCTACAGTGCAGTGAAGTCCAGCACTCATATGGAGGGCAGCAGCACACAGTACAGCTCCTCCAGGACATGCTGTATTATTTCTTTGCATGTTTCTGAAGATTTAATGTCCAGATGATTTAATGTCCAAATGCGCACCGTGACCCAAAAGCTTCAACACTGTAGGACAGATTCCATACAAACTGCACCTCCTGTCTCGACTTATTATTATTGGTGGCAACAAGTAAATGAGAAACAGCGCCTCCAGGTGACGGGAGAGTGTACTGCTTGCAGGTGCACACAGGTGGTGCCTTCCTGAAACCATGTGCACTGTCAGACAGCACTGTGACTTGGTAGGTGGCGCTGTAGCCACACCTGGAGGCTTGTGGGTCTGGTTCCCACTCCTGGTTCTGCATGTACAGCTTGCATGTTCTCCACGTGTTCCTGTGAGTTTCCTCAGGTTTCCTCCCACAGTCCAAGATCATGCAGTTTGGTGAATTAGTATCTAAATTGTCCTCAGCATGTGAGTGAGTGTTTGGCCCAGTGATGGACTGGCTTCCCATCCAGGGTGTCCATGCCCTGTGCCCATTGATGGACTGGCATCCCATCCAGGGTGCCCTGTGCTTCCTATAATGTGCTGTCCCATAACTGTATACTTCATAAGGGGATTATTGAAATTTGTTGGATATTTTATCCAGTATTTTATCATTCTTTTTCTGGGCTTAACTGAAGCTGGTCTTGCTACTTTAGGTGTGTAGTTGATATTTTAAGTTAGTAGTATCTAAAATAAATTTACATAGTTACATCCTGGGAAGCTTTCTGGTGGAAAATTAATAGTCATTCTGAACCTGGTCACCTGACTCTCCTTCCTAAGACACAAAGGTGGAGTTTGATCTAACTGCTCTTCTCAGTCTGGCCTCATTCTAAAGCCACACCTACTGCAGCCT